ATGACCACATATTTTGGATTAATGCATATTCACGTTTGAGAAACCGATTGATGAAGGGCAGGGCGTAATAATTTGGTCGGAATTCAAACGTAAAAATTTCGTCGCCGATTGCCCCAACTGAAGCAGCTGCATACAATAACGAAATAAGGCGAAAGAGCTGCTTGATGCGGTGTTCTTCAGAGTACTTTGAGCACTCATTTAATATTCCTTCAAATAAAAGAGTTACTTACCATTATGCAGAATCTGTTATAACATATGATTTTTCACCTGAAGGTCTTTCCAACGGCCTCTGAACCGATCTCGCAAGGGTCCATCCTTTCACATCTCAGGTCCCTAAAAACTAATTATTTTTTCCCAAATGACTGGCGACCGTGCATCGATATTAATAACTTTTGAAGGAAATTTAATAACTGGCAGGTTTGATTCGGGGAGCCTGGTATAGTTCCATATTTCGAAGTTATACGTGGTGTAAAAGAAGGAAAACTGCTCGGAGAGCCACACATTTGATGTTTTATTGCTGCAAGAACGATTCCTGTCTCGTGAGATGTTAATTAAAAACTTGAATTGCGTTTTCGATCAACATGTACTAAGTAGATGAAACTGGGATGGCGATTATTTTGCAGCATAAAATTAACATATTTCAGTCATACCAGAATGTTAGATTGTGAAGGAGCTTCTTTCTGCCAGCAGACTGAGAAAAAAAATGACTACCTAAGTAGAATACATTTTCCAATTGACTTTTGATGTTCTTTCGAATTCAAATATATTTTATACTCATTTGCATTCATGTGATAGCAAATTACGTTTCCTTGAAATTGTAGTCCCAACGAAGGGGTTCATTTCAGGTTTTAAAAACGACTTTCACTTTCTGGATATTTTCCAATCCAACCTGCAATTACGGCACGCCTAGCGTTCCCAAGCTACATGCTGCATACTATAGATATAAGATTAATCATATATTTCTCTACGCCACTAAGAAGACGTCATACGAGGCTCGTACAGTTATGCAATGGATGTACATCATTTTGATACTTTATAAGCAGACTGAATAAACAGACAGAAACGATTCTGCATGAATGGATATTTCAGGACTTTAGATATCTCATGATTATGAACTTTTAGATTCGAAATATACCCTTTAGCTATAAAATTCGAATATGATGCAGTCTGCTGTGGAATGGGTACCAGAAACAGTACGCTTCCAATAGAATATATTCAAATTTACAAAGGCATCGGAATACCAGTGGGAAATTTCATTCCACTCAGGGAGTCGTTTTTTACTGAGTTTGATTTTTGTAGACGACCGAAAAGAACCTCATTTAATGTCGGCATCCTGCGGTGACTGAAATCCCATGGTGTCCTGCTGCACGATAATTTGTGTTACAATTCCACCCAAGCACTCCTCTCGAATCGAATGCACTTTCCAGAATTTCGGTTGGAATTTCATAAGATAGATTAGCTACTGCCTCGAGGTTTTCTGCATATTGTCGTCAGACTATTTCATAAACAAGCCTAAACAACCAGCTTCTATAATATTAAGTTTGTCTGTTTTGTCAATTGTGACACGGTCTCACACCTTGACAGCTCCAATCGGGACAGTTCTAAACCACTTGAGAGCGTCGCTTTGCAAATCCGCTTGCAGGAATGAGGGTACTTGTTCCGATTTGATCGGTTTAGGCTCCATGGCAAGGTGGTTGCATTAAGTAACCAATCAGTAGCGTCGAAGGGCACGCGACATGTGACGTTGGCATGGGGCCCAGGTGTTGGATCGTTTGATTCAAATGTCCCATGCTAGACAGACCCCTGTTGAATCCCAGGTCTCCGTAGCTTGGTTCTAGTCCGTGGCTCGCTGATGATGGCGAATAAGTGTGAAATGTCCATTCCAGCTTCTATCTATCTCTACTTTCCCTGTACATTGTCCACTGGTTGTTGCTGCGTTGTCATCTGCGACTGTTATCGGTTGAGCCCGCGGGACAACACGGAATAAGTGTGCCCTCTTCCGTAAATGTATCGATGAGGCGATGATCTTGCGAGATTTTGTAATATACCAAGTATCACGACAGATGGACTGTTAACAGAGAGTAAGGAAAGTTCGCTGTCAGTTAACCACCGGATTCGTAGCTCGGGTTGGGGATGCGTAACAGTCGAACCTAACGTAATCGCAAGTGAAGTCTACCCAAAAAGGATGCAGAATGAAAAGCTCGGAAGAGACTAAAGTCAAGAAATAAAGACTTTTCATACGGATCATGGCTAAAGAAAGTCGGGGTTCTTCTCTAAACCTGCCACTGAACAAACTTTTGACTGGAACGGAACTTGCATACTTGACCGTTGTTCATCCAGGAGTGGTCAATAATTTTTCGAAGATATGGACGCGGATAAACAGGCACCAACCAGCGAGTGAATCGGGATTTCGCATATAAATTCTCAAGTGAAGTGGAAGAGACAGCAGCGAATCAAGATGCTAGGATGACCTACAGTGAGCGTCTTTTTGCGAAAACGTTCAAAATTCACTATTTTTACATACTCTGTGGGCTCAGAAAGAAGCAAGGGAGTAGCTGTCGCAGGTGCACAGACTAAAATTTGTTGTTCTCCCAAAGGACTCAAAAAATACCACACACAGTTCTCTGAAACAAAATATAAAGAAGGAGAGGAAATGAGAAGACTTCGGTTCCTGAACTCTCTATTCTTTCTTACTCAAACGATTAGGAACGCACACACATATATATCTGAGCAAAAGTATATATAATTGCATATAAATACCCCTGACGAGGATACGAGGTAGAGGGAGAAATGCGCTTTATTTCAGAGGTACCATTCTGATATTTTCAGCAATAAACGTCTTTTATTCACCGTGGCCAGAATGATTTGGGGTAGATGAACTTAGCTAGAGCTGCACACTATTATATGGATAGTGCGAGTCTCAGTTTTCGAATTTCGGATCATTTACATGTGAGGTATCGTGATATAGACGGTAGTAAGGAGTGTTAATATGCCCTCATGCGGCGAGCGACATACCGGGCGGTCATTTCCGGCCTATTAAACACTCTCAGCCGGCCATATTCGACCCCAAATTGTTGGAGACCTGGGGTCCGAACCCGAGTTCTCGAACCGTTGAGTGCTGAAGAGTCAGGTGATCTACCATTGAGTTACGGTTTCGTTGTCCTACCGGCTGCTGTCGGGCATATTGTGTTGAAGGCGGGTTCACCTATCTGGTTACTGGACGTGCTCGATCTCATGTGCCTTGGAGCTCAATTTACACAGATCCCTCAAAAGCAGTCACCCCATCCACCATTAATATATGCGGTAGGGTTACCGGCAATCTACTCCGTATGCATCAGACTTAGCCAAGACACACATGTTGCATAATGGATGGGTACGCAGGCTCACGTACGATTATTCTCCCTCCATTAAGACAGCCAAAATTTCCACTGCAAGACTGTCGTATGAACGGTGTGAGGTATTTTGATTCCCTTCGACTTACAGACGTACATAATCGATTAAACTAATGCATTTTCTGTTTGCGTGTTTGTTGTCAACACCTGCTCAGCATCCACAAATGATCATCAGGTCAGTGTGATGTCAGCACTGCTGTCGGTTGCCCCTGTGTCTTGCTCCCGTTGGGGGAGTTTACGAAGATATCCAAAGAGGGCGAATCCTCATTGGGTGGGGGTGTTGCAGTGAAGACAAGTGAGAGCAATATTTTCAGTTATTGTAAGAGCGGTTATGTTTCCTGGTGTGTGGGCTGCGTTGCTTGAACTACCATTGCGATAAATCCGGGAGCAGTCATCTAGGTCAGTCCTGGCTCTGAACATTAATTTACCTAGATGACCTAGAGACGGGGCCTGGGCTTTAGCGAGGGTGTTTCGTCATGATGTTCGACGCCCTGCCTTGGTCTGCTGAGGCCTCGCGAGATCTTCCCGGTCAGTTTGCTTTATTGCCACGTGCTACCGATAGGTGTTCAGGGTGTCCTTGCAGTTTCGACCCCCTCGTCTGCGAGCAGCCCCTAGCGATGTCATCGCAGAATGGTAATTGCCTGACTGCCCTCGTTACGCTGGCAGAGCCTCGTAGTTGGACCTACTTCTTCATGATGCTGGTGCTGACACACCGCTTTCTCCCAGAAGTTCGGTTTCTGGGATCCTTTCCTGTCACTCCGGTTATCCTGCCCGGCCCAGTAACACTGTCCAGGCGTCTGTTATGCAAAATGGCGTAGATAGTGACTTCGGCCTGTACATCTTCGACTTCTTGTGGCGCAGAACGTGGCGTTGCTTGCAGACTGTACGTTATAATCTTTCCAGTGTCTGACTGCCTTTGGACGCCAAAAGTGCCCTTTTTACGTCAGTTCTAATGTTTTTCTGAGATCTTACTCTCTAGGTACGCGTATTTGCCCATATTTCATTGGATATTTTCCAATTTTGTGGCTTTCACAAGCAGAGGAAATTGTCCTACTAGTGTACCGGCTTGGTGAGGATTTGTCATGAATCTCTGATTCCCTTATGACTTCATCCGAGCCAGCAAAATGGAAGTTTTGTTGAACTGCTAGCATATTTAGGTGTGCCGTAGCTGAGTACTGAAAGAAAATATAGCACTCAGTCAGCACTGGCGTTTATTTTTCGGTTGAAGGGACCACAGAAAAGTGTCATTCAAAGAAGTGCTTCTCACCAACAACATCTATTGGAGGGGAGGAGGGATGTGAGAGAGTATGCCAGAACACTCCCAGATATGCTCGTTGGTCAAGCTTAGTTCACTGAATTTAAACCAGATATGGTTCACTTATGAGTAGTCTAACAATCGCCAGAATTGTTTATGGAGAAGAACCGTATGTCCATGGATTAAACTGTGCAGAGGGGCATATTGAAATTGGTGTAGACGCTCTGTTGAAGTTCAGTTTGAGGACCTTAGTCCTGATGGTGGTGAGACCGGCGCCAATGATGGAAATGATGACGGAAGCGATGTCGGTTGTGATAATAGTGTAAGGGCTGAGTGCGAGGGGCAAGAAAGAGATGGATGATGCTGACGATGATTATGCGGAGAAGAAGAAGAAGAAGAAGAAGAAGAAGAAGAAGGAGGAGGAGGAGGAGGAGGAGGAGGACATTTATGCTCCATGCACTGAACCACCGCACAAAAAACTCCTAGCGAGTTACGGTTTGGGCAGCCAAAATGTAATTGAACTGAAAGTCCCCTCTGTCTGCCAATTTCATGTGCGTTAAACGCAGCCAGCATTCTTTTTTATCTCAACCACTTGAAAGTGTGTCACAGGAAGGGTCCTAGACAGAGTGGTACATACAAAAGCACACACACAAAATCTGCAATAATATGACAATGGTCCTGAAAGTGTGTGTGGTGAAGAAAGAAGTTCATTTGATCCTGTACTTGCCTGCTCGCACTATGCAGGGCGCACTCTTATCGAAATTACGCACTTCGCGGTGCATTCTTTTGTCGTCATCGATTGTCAATCCACTTAGGTACATAAGCCACATCTACACAGACTACAGTGTCATTTTAGCTTTCACAAGTATGCGATCGCTGACATTTGCTGTACTGATCGGCCTCATCGTTCAGACGATGGCCCAAGTCTACGGACGCGGTTATGGGGTCGACCGCAACCTTCCAACCTATCAGCAGCTCCGTCATTTAGACAGCTACGGTCTGCCTTCACAAAGGGAATTCACTGTCATTCCTGCGAGAAGGGAATCCAGATATCCTACCCGGACCGTTTCCGAACGACATGGAGGTTACCTTTACGGCCTAAGGGGCAAGCAATTCCAGCAACACCCGTAGATCCTGTTTTTGTATTAGTGGTCCCCTGTTTATGGCTTTCCCGCAGCACTCAATGTCAAATAATAAAGTGTTTTGTTATATTTTTTTCTGCTTTTTTCCAATGCTGTGACCTGCTCATTTCCGGGTCCTAGACTGGAAAGTTAACTGAACGGAGGTCTACTGACTGAAAATTAGTGGAGATATTCAAATGATTCCTTTGACTAGCGGCAACCTCGTCCCTCGAAGCCCTGCGTCAGGGAATGAAGAATGTTTATTTCTTTTATTGTCCTACTTAATTTCGGTTGCTATATGTCAATTCATTAAAACTTTTCCGCCCGAAAAACGAATTGGTCAATTATCTTTATTTACTTTGCCATGCATCTATGCATACATATGCCCCTCCCGTAAAACCCCTATTATCCCCTTTCAGGTAAGACAGGCACCTTTGACTGGTCGTATGTCGTAGGGGTCCTTCACATGGTCGTTGCCGAATTATGGTTAGCAGAGACCAGTATAGTAAATGAGTGAGACGGTAGAAGAAAGTTTCCAAAAATAAATGATCTGCTCTGATAACCAGCAACCGCGCTGAATCGTCAACTCTTCAGTTACGCTCCGTATAGTTTGTCTATTCAGACGGATGTTTTCCGTCCTGTTCTGCCATACATCTCCGGCTATGACCCGAAGGTGGACATCAGTGATAAACAGTGATCCACATTGACAAAGCTGTGAGATCGAGGGTAATCGGTTGAGAAAGAGAAAGGGCTCATTGGAAAGGATTTATTAAATTGCGGACGTTTTGAGGAGACCTTGCTTGACTGGGCTTCGTCAAAATCTAAAGCGCACAAACCTGAACAGAGATGCAAATGGCGTGTCGAGCTAGTCGGTCTTGGATGGATCGTTTTTTTTCTCCCAGTTTTCGTTGCCTCGACCTTTTGGCAGATGCTTGGCGAACTTGACATCTGTGTACATTGTGCGCCATCACCTCGACAAGGGGTAGTAGAGCCTCTGCGAGGGGTGTGCAGTCTGGTGGCTCTTTTTATTTCCCATCGGGTGAGTTCGCCGTCAGTCAGTGTCTTTGTGGTTTTCCCACGTTCTGCGTGACCATTTTGCCCTGGTCCTTGTGCACGCAATGGCAGAGGACTTTATAAGATGCGGAGGGTCACGATACGAGTTGGTGGAGTTGACATCTGAATAACGTGTATCGACTTCTAGTTCTTCTGTCCTCCAGTTGCCCCAGACCAAGCTGATCGCTCCTTGAAGGATAGAAGGATGGCCTGTTTCTGCAGGGTACACTGAAAGCTAAGAACTTGGGTTTGTGTTCGTGTAGGCGGGCCAGTAATTTTCACCCAGTTCCCTCAACGTCGTCACAGTCCCCATCATTAGTTGTCTGAAATTTCAGTTAGGCAAGAGTAGCTACCCATCTCCAGAGGCTGCAGTGTTCTCTGCACAATTCACATTATAATGCAGGCATGGCATGCGCTTCTTCTCTGGACGGGTTCATGGCTTGTCGACGCCGACGCTGTGTCTAAGCCGCACGTCTGTTGGACTATGTCAGATTGCATCAGGTGCTTTCGTGGTAGGTACCCGAGCTCTCTGCACAGCCGCGTAATCTCTCACTCTTTTTCGAGTTCTGTTGAGAGTGGCACATCTTGGCCTCACGTCCAAAGCCCCCCCC